CCGGCGCAAGCTGTGAGCTAGGGAGCACACTACCGAACTATGAACTTTATCATGGGCCCGACGCCCTTGCGGTGACAAGCGCGCACCCCTTGGTGTGTCGAGGTTGGCGAGGTGAAGGGCATCCCAGACTCCACTCATGGTACAGCCTGCACCTTGGGCAGAAGCACAGCCTCAAGCACACAATTTCTTGGCCTCGATCGTTTGAGGGTGTTGTTGTTCCTCAAGCTGGACGTGCATATGCTTGCCATGAAGGGTGCCAGCCACACAACAAGTAGGAACGTACGCAGGGCAAGATGCGCACGTAGCTGATCCGATTAGATATTCAATACGTCCCCTAACGCTGGCCGACGTTGACCACGACGTGCACAACGCGGGGCTACTCGATCAAACCTCGAAACATCGAACGCCGACGAATGATCCAACCCTGAAGCCTGTTTTGCGGCGGCTTGGACAAATAGCTCGGCGGGCAAATCCTAATAGCTAACTCGATCGCCCACGACCGGGTGTCGGTGGACTGGAGCCGCAATTCCATACAGCGGGGAGTGCTCCAAAGCTGGCTGTTGTCGGCTGCGTCGGCCCGTTGTGTTTTCGGCGGCGCGCACAAGAAGGGGTAGGGGGAGGAGGGAAAGCTTCTTAGACAGACGGAGGCTGCTTCTGAGGAGGCGCCTGCCCTACATCTACAGAGAAGGCCCGCGCCTTCTGAGAAGCAAGGGTGCTTCTAAGAAGCCCCCCCCTCCCCATGATGATGATAATGTTGCTAAACATGGTGATGATGATAATGATGATGAGGATGAGGAGGATGCTGATGATGATGGTGGTGCTGATGATGATGCTGGTGCTGGTGCTGGTGCTGGTGCAGCTGCTGCTGATGCTGCTGATGATGCTGATGATGATGATACTAATGCTACTAAGAATCATACTACGAATAACAACAGTCATGAACATGATAACATTACAACTAATAATGGTAATGAAACTTATGATGCTGTTGATGCTGACGCTGACGCTGATGCTGATGCTGATGATGCTGATGATGATTGCGGTGACAGCGACGATTACGGCATGGAGTACAACACACAGAGACACAGCGCCACAAGGACACAACGAGTGCAATACGAAAGCGTGTACACATATTGTGAGAGACCAGCGCCACTGAGACCCAATCATGCCAATCATATGCAAGGGATGGCTATTATTGCGAAACAAATGAAAGCCACGCAAGCAAATGATGCCGTCGTCGGCGTGGTGCTTGACGGCTCCGTTGTCCTCTTGGGGGGCCGCCGATTCGAGGAAGCCGCCACTGCTACATACGCAGTCGCCCAATACCGCAGATTGCCTGTGATCGCGTCTGTCGGCGCTCTGCCTCCTCTGCGTTCTGCGTCCATTCCCACTTTGTTTTTTCCATTCAGAAGAAGGTCCGACTCAATCCCCAGGAAGAGCAAGTTTGGACCAAATCCATGGGTGCGCTGTGGGGCATGCTAGAGGGGAGAAACATCAAGAAGACCATGAGGGCAGGAGGGAGGCAAGGCAAACCATGCTGGAGACGCGGAAGGATTGCTGCTGCTGGCTTTTACCCAGAGTGCCACAAGAGTCTCTTCAGATGCTCCGATGGCGTCCGGAGGAAGCCTTACGAGGCCGACAGGGCCCCAGCGGTACCAGATTATGCGAAACGCAGGTGGACACCTCGGGCCCAGATCACCTCTGGCAACCTCCGAGGAAGTGGAGCTTGACACAACAATCCCGACAGCGCGTTCGAGCCTCACCTAGCTATGGCGACGAGCCTCCCCCGGGGCCAACAAGCAACGCATAATAGAGCGGGCGAAGGGGCAGGGTAGGCGCTGAGCCCTCCGAACCCCCGCAGGAAGCTGGACGACCTCGGCCCGTGCGCTCCCCGCTGCACCCGGGCTCCTCATCGCACCGTTGCCGTCGATGCTTCCTGCCGCCCAAGAGATCATCCGCGGATGCTGCTGCAGAGCGCAACCGGGCTTTGAGCAGCCTCTTTGCCGACGAGCTCTTCCGGCTGGATCTCGAACCTGCGATCCAAGAAAACAAGCCAACACACAATTCGACATCCCCTTCCACTTGCCGAAAAACTTGAACACTGCCTGTGGCCAGTAAGACCCGACAGCTTCGGTTGTGGCTGGCCAGTGTTACTGCCGCGACGTGAACCATCGTATCCATACCCGCGGCCTCACGGTCGGGACTCCTCGGCCGCGCTCCGATGGATGCAAGGCAGCTTTGCGCGGATTCCTCGCGCGAAACCGATCAACGGGCCCGCGTAATGTCTAAAAACAATAAAACAATAATCTGGGGGGGACCATTAAAAGGCAATTATTCGCGGCGCTGTAGTGCGCGTGCAGTGAACAAGAGGAAGGCGGGGCAAACCGGACCGCCGGGGACGTCCCCGCGACCGCCTTGGCAGTCAGCGTCCAGGGGCAGATTCCTGCGTTGGGTTCGCGCGGGAGGGGGGCAGGTCTTCAAAGACCCCCCGCGTCAACGACGATCGGCGCCGACACTCGGCGCGTCAACGACGATCGAAACCGACACTTGGCACCGACGCGCGGCACCGACACTCGGCGCTGACACTCGGCTGTCACACTCGGCGCCGACATTCAGCACCGACACTCGACGCGCGCACTCACCACGCGTGCACCCTCAGCCCCATCGCCTCACCAGAACGCACTCACCAGAGTGCACTCTGGTGAGTGCACTCTGGGCATACAGAGGGGGATCCCCGACGTGCTATGACCCACACATGGCGATTTTCCCACCGCGAACAATACAAAAACCGCCGCGCGCGCGTCGGCATATTGTAGGCTGCTCCGATATACGAAAAAGCAAGGGCCGCATTCCAACTTGGAAACCCAATCGGCAACCCAATCGGCGACGTTCCTATCGCGGACAAAACAGAAACCGCCACGCGAACGCGTGCGTCGGCGCATGTAGCCTGCACCAATGGACGAAAACGTAAAGACCGCATGTTACGTGGGAAATCCCACCTGCGACTGCTAGGGGTTAAGGGTTCACTTCTAGCTCCCAGGCCAGCATGGCGACCTTCCGATTGCGGGCAACACAGAAACCGCCACGCGCTCTCGCGCGCGTCGGCTCACTGTAGGCTGCACCAATGTACGAAAACGTAAAGACCGCATGCTAAGCTTGGAACTCAAATCAGCAAGCGCTAAGGGTTCACTTTAGTTCCCACGCCAACATGGCGACTCTCCGATTGCTGACAATGCAGAAACCGCCGCGCGCGCGTGTCGGCGCATTGTAGGCTGCATCAATAAACGAAGGCGTACAGACCGCATGAACAAGTGGTAATCCAATCGGCAAGCCCTGAAACCACCACGCGAAAGCGCGCGTGGGCGCATTGTAGGCTGCGCACGTTGACGAAAGCAGAGCGCAAAAAACAACGCATGTCAAATGGGGAATCCAATCGGCAACGGCTGCGGGCTCACGCCGCGCGCGCGCGCGGGCGCGCCTGCGCATTGCAGGCTGCGCCGGTAGGCGAAAACGTAAAGACCTCATGTTAAATTGGAGCACAGATCGGCGACCGCTGCGGGTTCACCTGGGCTCGCAGGCCAGCATGGCGACTTTCCGATTGAGGGCCGCCGCGCGCGCGGCGGCCTACGCGCATCTTGCGCGGGCAAAAAAAAACGCGCGCGAGGCGCCAGAGCCGCCGCGCCCGCGGGCCATGGGCCGTGGGCCGCCGCGGGCGCGGCGGCCCACGCGCATCTTGCATGGGAAGAAACCCAATGCGCGAGGCGCCAAGGTCCGCGCGCGCGCGCGGCCCACCCGCACCTTGCATCGATCAAAACACCATGCGCGAGGAGCCATGGGCCGCCGCGCGCGCGGCGGCCCACGCGCATGTCGCACGCGCGTACACAGCGCGCGCGGGACCAGAGGCGCCATGCGAGCTAGTCCACGCGCACCTTGCATGGCAAACCACAATGCACGAGTGTGCCACGGGCCGCCACGGACGCGGCAGCCCACGCGCATCTTGCACCGAAACGCAGCAACGCGGGGAGCCAGGGCCGCCGCGCGCGGCTGCCCACGCACATATTGCATGGCAGAAGCAGAATGCGCGAGGGGCCAGGGCGGCCGCGCGAACGGCTGCCCACGCGCATCTTGCATGGCAGACGCAAAATGCGCGAGGGGCCAGGGCCGCCGCGCGCGCGGCGGCCCACGCGCATCCAGCATGGAAAAACACGACGCGCGAAAGCCAATGGGCTGCCGCGCGCGCGGCAGCCCACGCGCGTCTTGCATGGGGCAGCGCCGTGCGCGAGGGGCCACGGGCCGCCGCGCGCGCGGCAGCCCGCGCGCATGTGGCATGGGAAATCGGAAAAACAATAACAATGCGCGAGCAGCCATGGCCCGCCGCGCGCGAACGGCGGCCCACGCGCACCTTGCATGGAAGAACGCAATGCGCGAGGGGCCATGTGCCGCCGCGCGCGCGGCGGCCCATGCGCACCTTGTACGGGGAAACCACGGCGAGCGAAGCGCAAGGGGCCGCCGCGCGCGCGGCGGCCCACGCGTGTCTTGCACGAACAAAACACAACGCGCGCGGGGCCATGGGCCGCCGCGCGCGCGGCCGCCCACCCGCACCTTGCATGGGATAGCGCCATGCGTGAGGGGCCATGGACCGCCGCGCGCTCGCGGCAGCCCACGCGCATCTTGCGGGAGGGGGGGGGGGGGGGGGGGAGGGGCGCGACGCGCGAGGGGCCAGGGCCGCCGCGCGCGCGGCGGCCCACGCGCATCTTATTCCAAAAACACAACGCGCGAGGGCGCACCCTGCATGGAGAAGCACCACGCGCGAGAGGCTATGGGCCGCCGCGCGCGCGGCGGCCCACGCGCATCCTGCACTGGCAAAGCGCGATGCGCGCAGGGCCAGGGCCGCCGCGCACGCGGCGGCCAACGCGCATCATGTGTTGGAAAAAAGCACGAGGGACCATGGACCGCCGAGGGCGCGCGCGGCGGCCTGCGCGCATCTTGCATGGAACAGAACAACGCAATGCGCGAGTGGCAATGGGCAGCCGGGCGCGGCGGCCCCCGCACATCCGTATAAAAGAACTCAGCGCGCGAGGAGCCAGGGCCCGCCGCGCGCGCGGCGGCCGCGCGCATCCTCCCTATGGCAACACACAATGCGCGAGGGGTCATGGGCCGCCGCGCGAGCGATGGCCCACGCGCACATGTTGTGGCAACAACGCAATGCGGGGCGCGCTCGTGGCACAGGGCCGCCGCGCGCGCGGCGGCCCACGCGCATCCCGCAAGGGGAACGCACACCGTGCGAGGGGCCAGGGCCGCCGCGCGCGCGGCGGCCAACGCGCGTCTTGTTCAGGGGGAACAAACGATGCGCGAGGGGCCATGGGCAACCGCGCGCGCGGCTGCCTTCGCGTATCTGGCATGGAAAAATACAACGCGCGCGGGCCAATGGGCCGCCGCGCGCGCGGCGGCCCACGCGCATCTGGCATGGCCAGACACGACAACAAACAGAGAAACACAAAACGCGCGATGGGGCAAGGGCCAGCCGAGCGTGCGGCAGCCCACGCGCGTCTTGTGTGGCACAACACATTGCGCGAATGGCAACGGGCCGCCGCGCGCGGGGCGGCCCACGCGCATCGCGCATGGGAACAACACAATGCGCGAGGGGCCATGGGCCGTCGCGCGCGCGGCGGTCCGTCCGCATCCTGCATGGCCAAACGCCGTGGGCGAGGGGTCAGGCCCGCGCGCGCGCCCGCGCGCATCTGGTCGAAGAAAAAACACCACGCGCGAAGGGCAATGCGCCGTCGCGCGCGCGGCGGCCCACGCGCATATTGTATTGACAAAAACATAACGCGTGAGGGGCAGTGGGCCACAGCGTGCGCGGCGGGCCACGCGCATCTCGAATGGGCAACCGATGCGCGAGAGGCCTGGGCCGCCGCGTGCGCGCGGCGGCCCGCGCTCATCTTGCACAGAAAAAGCACGATGCGCAAGGGGGCCATGGGCCGCCCCGCGCGCGGGAGCCCACGCGCATCCCGCATGGAAACAACAATGCGCGAGGGCCCACGCGCATCCTGCATGGAGAAACACAATGCCCGAGGGCCATGGACCGCCGCGCGCGCGCGCGTCGGCCGACGCGCATCTTGCATGGAAGAGCACGCAGCGCGAGGGGCCATGGGCCGCCGCGCGCGCGGCGGCCCACGCGCATCTCGCATGGATAAGCACGATGTGCGAGGGGCCATGGGCCGCCGCGCGCGCGGCGGCCCACGCGCATCTTGCATCCAAGAACAATGCGCGCGCGGCGGCCCACGCGCATCTCGCATGGAAAAAACACATCGCGTGAACGGCAATAGGCCGCCGCTCTCGCGGCGGCCGGCGCGCATCTTGCATGGAAAACACTGCGCGCTAAGGGCGTGGGCCGCCGCGCGCGCGGGAGCCCACGCGCATCCCGTATGGAAAAACACAATGCGCGAGGGACCAGGGCCGCCGCGCGGCGGCCCACGCGAATCATGTATGGGGAAACACAATGCGCGAAAGGCCATGTGCCGCCGCGCGCGAGGCGGCCCACGCGAATCATGCATGCGAAAACGCAATGCGCGAAAGGCCATGGCCCGCCGCGCGCGCGGCGGCCCACGCACATTTAGTATGGGAAAACAAAAAATGCGCGAAGGGCTCTGGCCGCCGCGCGCGGCGGCCTTGGCCCATTCTGCGTGGGAAAACGCACAGCGCGCGAGGGGCGCGAGCGGCGGCCCTGGCCCATTCTGTGTGGGAAAACGCACAGCGCGCGAGGACAAGGCCGCCGCGCGCGCGGCGGCCCTGGCACATTGCGTGGGAAAACTCAGCACTGCGCGAGGGGCAAGGCCGCCGCGCACGCGGCCGCCATGGCCCATGCTGTGGGAAGCGTACGCACGTACACTGTTCCAGTAGGACGAAAACTACTTATTCGTCGACCAGAGCAGCCTAGACACCTGCACGAAGGAAGTTCGAATGCATGTTTCAATGCATGCGCGTGCGTGTATATGTTTACACGACACACGTATGTTCGCTCTCATTCGAATATTTCTCCAAGGGGACAACTAAAACATAGTTATCCGGAGGCGTATTAATGACACTCGGGATCCGGGGGGGTCATCATATGTAACAGGTTTTGGACATTTCGGGATTGCGCCCGGGTCTCTTCACTGCGAGCGTATGGGTATGGACATGCTCGTCGCTCGTGAAGGCAGCCCAGTACCCAAGAGAGGGCATAAAGCGGTTCTTGGAGGCTTGGAAACGGGCACCAGCTACAACCCAGGGGCGTGCCTCCACCAGGGGAAGATGATCCTAGAATTTGGTGATGGGGACAATCGTTCGCCCACCTACGCAGGACGCCCGAATATTATCACCATCGCCGAGATCGGGACCATCTCCCCTCGGTGAAAGCACACCGCCGATATTGGTGTTGATGCCAACCGCTGGGCCTCCGAGGGAGGTTGCCCCCCCCTCGAGGATCTAGTGACCCGGGTCAATCCAAACCCGGGTCAGTCGGGCCTTGCAGGAGCCTGCAAAATCCTGCAGGATCCTGCCAAATCCTGCAGGATCCTGCGCGCAAGCCTGGGTTAATTGACGCGCCCCTGGCCCTGCAGCGTCCTGCAGGATCCGGCGCTCTGACTGACGCCCGTTTGCATTGACCCCCGCCTCCAGGCTTCCGGCCCCCGCCCCCAGGAGAGCCCAGAATCGAATCGAAATGAATCGGATCGGCGGACATCGGCAGCCGAGTCGGGAAAAGTCGAATCGGCGGATATCGGCAGGCTGGCATGCCTCCAATAAGAACTCGGAACACAAATCGGAATCCCAAGCCGAGTCGAATCGGAATCGGGTGCCATCGAAGTCGGAGTAGAATCGAATCGGAGGAATCGGAGTGGGCCCTACGCCCCCCTCGGGGCGGTCCCTGCAGTGGCCCCGCAGCTTGCGGGCGAAGTCCGCGGGGTCCAAGGCCACGCCGTACTTCACCTGCACCATCTCCAGCACGACCGCCCCCAGCGCCTCGGGGGCGGCGCGGGCCGCGGAGCCGAGGCGGGTACAGCGAGGCAGGCCAGCGGCGGGGACGCGGCGGTGCTGGGCGCAGAGGCGTACGAGCGAACGAACGAGCCATGGGCCAGTAGGCGCGCGGGCAACAGCATGCGTCTAGCAAAGCTCTGCGCGGGATCAAAGAACATGCGGCGAGCAGCCGGACGAATGACAGGAGGAGGAGGAGAAGGAGGAGGAGGAGGAGGAGGAGGAGGAAGAAGAAGAAGGGGCCAGGAGACTGCCATGCATGGTGCTGTGTGCGTTTTCAACCAGGGCGACAGGGCGCTAAAAAGGAAGGCTGCGCGGTAAGGATGTAAGGGCCTTGGACGCCCATGCCGAGGCTCTTCAAGCGGGTCTGGCCATCGAAAGTGGTTGAGGATGGACCGAAGATGGCCGAAGACCATCCATACTATGCGGGTTGACTGTGTGCGTTTGCATTGGAGTCTTTGCTCATTCGTTTCGAGTCCTGACTGTAAACATTTAGATCGGGGGGGTCGGCGGAACGAGGTAGGTTCAGGTCGGGCGTGTCCCCCTACAGGCGAATTTGGGACGACAAATGAAACAATACCCCAACATATACTACAAATGCTCAAACATGGTAACAAAATCGTCTCCAGGCTATGTTTTGAATATTTTTGAATAATCCCCCTGTAGAGGGACAGGCCCAACTTAGAGGTAGGTACCAAGTGGTGCACTCCTGCGTCCACGTGCGGAGGCACTTCGCCGCCGACCTGCTGCGCTGAGGGCCACACGTGTGCGTGTGCGCCACAATCGACCATCAGTGCGCCACCCGCCTCCGCCTTGGCAGACCGCCACTGGACCTGAGCCCAGCCGCCTTCCCCAGTCCAGCCCTCGGCCTCGGGGATCTTCTCTCCCGGGTCAATCCAGACCCGGGTCAGTCAGGCCTTGCACAATCTTGCAAGATCCTGCGCCCAGACCCGGGTCAATGCAAAGGATCCTGCAGGATCCTGCACCCAAACCCGGGTCAGTGCGACCCTGTCCCTGCAGGATCCTGCAAGATCGGGCGCTCTGGCTGACCCCCGCTTGCAGTGACCCCCGTCTCCAGGCTCCGGACGGCCGCTCCGACCACCCGCGCTGGCTCTGCCCTGGCAGGGAGGGAGCCCCCCTGTGGTGGCCGCCCAGCCTTGCCGCACTGGCTGCTCCACGGACCTCCTCGTGCGCCCGCCTGCCGGAGTCTCACCCCTGGCGCTGGCCCTGCTGTGAGCATGGTTCAACCGATCCCCATCCCCAGCGGCGTGGCCTGGGCCTCCTCCTGCTCCTCCTCCTCCTCCTCCTCCTCCTGCTCCTCCTCCTGCTCCTCCTCCTGCCTCCCCCTGGGGGCTCAGTGAGCATCGCTTATCCGACCCCCATCCCCAGCGGCGTGGCCTGGGCCCCACTGGCCGATTTACCCCCCTAGATGGGGATATAGGCCGTTCCCTTCGGGTTTCAAGGGGTGTATCCACAACTGGGGTGGTAATTTGGTGGGGGTCTCGAAGGGGATGGGGATGGGGATGGGGATCGATTAAACGATACCGACCCCTGGCGTTCGCCCTGCTGGTCGTCTTCACGCACTTCCACCCCCTGTGCACTGCGAATTTCCCTGCGGGCGCTGCACCGGCATCTACGAACCCGCTCGGAAAGCCCCCAGCTTGCTGTTAGGTCGGGCATGTCCCCCTACATGCGGATTTTGGGCGAAAAATGAAAAAATAGCCCAAAACATGACCAACAATTGTAAACAGATTGTCGAAGTATCGTCCCCAGACTATTTCTTGAATCTCATTGAATTATCCTCCTGTATGGGGGCATGCCCGACTTAAGCTTGCTGGACTCCTGGACTTCTTCCCGTTCTACCCACGTTCTACTCGCACCACTCGTTTGAGCCTGGGCCGCAACACGCCTCCCGAATAACTGCACGGTATGCATTGGCAACCCGCCTCGCCTCCCCATCCCGCGACCGCCCTGCCTCTCCTTTTTCACTCTCTTGCAACGCTTCATTCGCCGTCCATGATCCCTGGACTGCTCGACCGACCTGCGCGCTCGCTGGGTCCACGACGACCCAATGTGCAGCAATCTGCGCCGGCCACACAGAGGCGCGCGCAAAATGCGCGGCGGCGGAGAAATCCACGGCGACAAGCCTGGGCTTGCCAGAGCCAAACATGGCCTACTGGAGCGCTCGTCGAGTCGCATACTGCGCGACCGCGCAGGCTTATCGCGCTCCGCGAGCCCTGAGGCCGTAGCCGCCCCCAGTCCACAGCGCAGGGCCACCTCTCTATGCGTGCCCGTTGCCCACGAAAATTCGCGCCAGGGCTGGCGCAACTCGGCCAGCCCGCTCTGGCCAGCGCCAGCGCCGCCGCGGCGCCTGCAGCTGGTCAACACCTGGGCGGAGACAGCGCCCACCGAGCCGAGCCCCTCGCGCCTGCCTGCAGGCAGGCGGCCCTGCGGAGCGCTGGGGATGCTGGCGAGGTGGGCTCCAGCGATGATGCCCCCGCAGCAACTGCATCGCCAGCGCGAGGGTACATTGCGGTAGGCTGTGCCCTGCAGGCACTTCGGGGCTGGTGCCCTCTCGGGCTCGGTCCCGCCCGCGGCGTTGCAAGCTCCCGCAGGGGCCGAAGCAGCGCAGCCTCGGGGAGACTTCGGGGCGCCCATGGGCACCCGCGGCGCCGCACGAAGGAGGATCATGGAGACATCCCACGGCGGCCACCCAGCATGGAAGTGATGCTGGCCGATGCGGCCACGGACCGATGGATGCGCGCGAGCTTTGAGGATGTCGACCTTCACGCCGTCGCAGGTTGGACGGATCGGCGAACGTCCCCTGGCGGGCAGCGACTGCGAGGAGGATCTCAGCACGCACGCGTCCGGCGCCAACCGCACCATGCCGCCCTGGCTGCCTGCCGCACGTGCCGCCACGGTGCGATGTGCGCCGAGCGTGCCGAGCGAGCCGAGTACCGTAGCCCCTAGCGGCTTGGGCGGGGGCGCCTTCTCCTGTCCCTCCTCGTCCAGCTCCAGGCCGTGGCGGAGCCAGCACCACGGAGAGCGCCGATGAGGTTGGCAGTGAACCACTCGGGAGGTGGGCGGTCGGCCCCGGGGGACACGTGCCGCGCCCATGCCTGAGCGTCGGCGACGTCCAGCATCGTGGGTTCTGGCCTGCGGTGCGGGCGAACTGCGACGCCGCCGAGGGTGGGCCGCTCGGCAGTAGTGCCGGTGCCAGAGCACCTCTCTCCAAGAGGCCATGCGAACCCTCTCCGAGGATCGCCCTGGGGCGCCTATCCCAAGCAAGGTGGCCATACTCTCCAGAATGCTGTGCAGTTGGCCTGGCGCAGAGACACGTGGGCGCCAAGGTGGTTGACACGTGCACCGCTTTCCGGGCCACGAGGACGACACGAGGGTGCCATATGCCACGGGCCATCGAGCTCGATTGGGGTCGAGTATCTACCCAGGCCGCGCAAGGGCGCCACCCACGGACCACCGAATCAAACCTGGGGGCTCGATTCCGCACGAGTGACGGGCAACGAGAAGGGGGGGCTCTGGGGGGGAAGCATCGAGCTGGAATCGATCGCGGCCCCGATCGTTCAAAGTTGCATTTCGTCGGGTCCAGGGGCGTCACCGCGTCCCTCGGTGCTTCCGCGTCGCAGATTTCCACCTGGAGCGCCTTCACTGGCGTCGCCGGCGCGCCACCGCCGCGTGAACCTACCGCATCGTTGATCCATGGGTGACTGGGGATCAATGCACCTCCCCCCTGAGCCCCCCCTTCACTGATGGGCTCATTTTCCACCACCACTACCATAGGTAGGAGAGGGACGAGGAGGAGGAGGAGGAGGAGGAGGCGGAGGAGGAGGAGGAGGAGGAGGAGGAGGAGGAGGAGGAGGAGGAGGAGGAAGAGGAAGAGGAGGAGGAGGAGGACGAGGAGGAGGAGGAGGGTGAGGAGGACCTCCTTATCCTCCCTTCTCCCCCGTCCTACATATGGTAGTGGTGGTGGAACATTTGCCCATCACTCACGCTGCCCCTGAGCGAGGCGGCCAACCGGGAGGCCCGGGCCGCCGAGCTGCCCGTGGCCCTCGGCCCCCGTGGCGCGCGCGGGGCGTGGGCGCGAAGGGGGGCCGCGTCCGAGGCTCCACGGGCGGACGGCGGGGCGAGGAGCGCTCCCCTCCCTGGCGAGGGGAGGCAGGGCGGGCGGTCTGCGCACGTGTGGTCGTTTTGGCCCTGCTGCCGCCCTTCGACCTGCCGCTGTTGGCGTAACAACCGCCCATCTGTAGGTGCTGCGTCGACGTCCGATGGGGCCACCCCAGGGCCGCACATCTCCATGTTGCCTTCGCTGTCGACGCACGAATGCCATCGTAGGTCAAACCAACGCCCATACCTCATAGCCGCAGACACACCCGTTTTCAACACTGCACTGACATCAACGGGCGCGGGGTTTCTCAACGCATAGGCACGGGTTCCTCCGTTTGGTGGGCGCTTTTTACGCCAGTGGCTGTGGCCACCGCGGAGTTCGGGGCAGGAGCTGTGCCCCCCAGGTGGCTGGAAAGACCCGCGCGCGCCTGCGCGATTGATGTTGATAGACGAATGCGTAGCACCCCACAATTGCGGACAAGAGTGATGGGGCGGACGCGGAGTGGGTCGCGGGGCGACAACAACAACAACAACAATAACAACAACAACAACAACACCAACAACAACAACAACAATACCAACCCCCAACCCCAACCCCAACACCATCAACCGCGATAACAACAGCAACAACAATAACAAACACAGCAGCACTAGCAACAACACCACCACCACCAACAACAACAACGACGACAACAACAATCGTTTGCAAGACTGTTCGCTCTTACCCGCCCGTGTGTCATTCCAAACAAGCTCCCCACACCCTCGATACCCGCCCTTTTTGTCTTCGATCACACCCCCTTTGGGGGGATTATTTCTCTTTGCGTGGGGCGGCGGGCTTAGACAGGCGGGCAAACCTGAACGGGTGGACAATCCTTCGTGGGCGTACATGTGCCCGCCAGTGGAATCGGAGTGGGCCCTGCAAAAAGAAGAGGGGGAGAACAAGGGATACTGGGAGGAAGGGAAGGGGAGGGACGAAGGAACAGGGAAAACGCCAAGAGAGAAGGAGCGAAGAGGGAGGCGGTTGATTAGAGGCAGAGAGAGAGAGAGATATAAAAAAAAGAAAGAGAAAGAAAGACAGGTAAGGGAGGTAGAGAGAGAGAGAGAGAGAGAGAGAAGAGAGAGAGAGAGAGAGAAAAAGAAAGAGGGAGGGAGGAGGCATGAGAGGGGAGGGAGAAGGGAGGAGGGAGAGGAGGGAGAGGGGATAGAGCAGAGAGGCATAAGGATGAGGGAAGAGGCGAGGGAGAGAGAAGTGAGGAGAGGAGGGAGGAGAGAGGAGGGAGAGGGAGGAGGAGCAGGAAGGTAAGAGCGTGAACGCCCGAGGAAATCCTAGGCGAAAGCGCCGTGCCTGAAGGAAGTCTCGGGCGGGAGCCCACGACGGGCGGGCGATCCTCTGACGGGCGGGTCGGGCGGGTGGGACATTCAACCGGGATGCCTGAGTATGGCGAGAGCGCGATTAACAAGTGAATTGTAACGGCGTCCTTGGCGCATCGCGTTTCCTTCCTGAGCGTCGAAAGCGCGATTTCTGTACATTGCATGGAGGTCACAGGCGAGAGCGCAATTCCTGAATAAAATGTAAAGGGTTCTCTGGCGGGAGCGGGGGTCTTGATTAAATTGCGAAGAAGTCTTGACTCAGTTGCGAGGAATCTCAAGCAGGAGCGCCGTTCCTGAGTAAAGTGTGAGGAAGTCTCAGGTGGGAGCGGGGGTCCTGACTAAATTGCGAGGAAGTCACAGGCGGGAGCACCGATCCTGAGTAAATTGCGAGGATGTCTCAGGAGCGAAAGTCCTGAGTAAATTTGGAAGAAATCTCAAGCGGGAGCCGTTGTTGTTGTTGAACATTATTAATTCTACAGAATAATTATTGTTGGGCCCCCTGGTGCACGCCCCCCCCGCCGCGCCTAGGCCGCAGCTACATTTTCATCACTTTCGTGAGGAAGCCTCAGGTAAAACGATGTCATCCAGATCCGGTTGTTTTGTTCCCCCCCGCTTTCCCTTGCAAAAAACACTATAAAATGAAATTTCTTGTTCAAATGTAATCAAATTTCAAGAATCCCTTGCAAAAAATAAGGTAAAGTGGACATTCGCGCGTGCAAGACGAAATCCTTCCAAAAGCTTAGTGTTCGGAGCGATTTTAACATAAAAACATCAAAAAACCAATGGTTTTTCAACAAAAAAATGTCAAAATCTCATCCCGCGCGCTCTTGCGGATTCGTAGGAAACCCAACACTTTTTAAACATTTCTGTCAAACGGGCTTTTGCGAGCAACTTTTTCGAACTTCTGCGACAACGGTTGCGCACCTGCCAGGGCCATCATCCCTGTCAAATAATACCATATGGGACACATTCGTTTTTTCTTCGCGCGCGCACGCCGAAATCTTCAATTGCAGAGGGAAAAGTCGTATACTAAGCTAGCTTACAGAAAATGTTACCACAACAAGTCATTGTACCCATGCGCCAGTGTAGTAGCCACGGTCGTCCGCACGCCACGAAGTGAAGTGTCCCAACGTCATAGGGCGGGAAGCTGGGTTTGGGTGGTCGCGAAGAGTCGTTTGGATATTTGGTAGAGCTTGTAATGCCCCCCCACGAAGTGGGGGTATTGCCTGGTGTCGTATGAAAACCCTGGCACTGGGGAGAACACCACGCGTTCGGGTAAAATGATTGTTGTTGTTGTTGTTGTTGTTGTACTCCGGGGGGCCAGGGACACAGTTTGAGCATCGAGGGACACATTTTGATTGAGAAACAACAGCATGCACCGGTGCGGGGGGGATCAACAATGATTATTCTTCAGTAGTGAGAATTCAACTGCCACCACCACCACCACAACCACCACCACCACCACCACCACCACAACAACAACAGCAACAACAACAACAACAGCAACAACAACAACAACAACAACAACAACAACAACAACGACAGCACCACCACCACCAACACCAACAGCAACACCAACGACAACAGCCATCATTTTAAGACCCTTCACTTTTAATGGCTCGAGTGCCATTCCTCGTGTATTTTCCAAACCCTCGATGCCCGCCCTCTTCGTCTTCGATTGTACCCCCTTTGGGGGGTCTACGTTTTTCCCTGCAGGCCGGCCCTCAGCAAGCGGCGGGGCGGCCGCGGACCGTTGGCCTGGCCAGCGGCAACGCTGATCGGCGGCAACCCGACCCCAAGAGGGACGGACAAAGGACCGACCAAGACGACGACGACGAGCGAAAGCAAAAGCGAGAGCGAGAGCGACAGCGGGGCCACGAAGTGCAGGAAGGGGGCCACGAAGGGCGACAGCGGAGCCACGAAGGGCATGCGTATGAGGCCACGAAAAGCGCGACGAGCGGGGGCCACAAAAGGTAGATAATGCGGGGCCACAGAGGGCAACGACGGGGCCATTGAGGGTAGCAACGGGGCCACGTTGGACAGCGACGGGGCCACAAAGGGCGACGAGGGGGCCACGACGGGCATACATATGGGACCACGACGGGAGCGAACGATCGGGGGCCACGAAAAACATACGTATATTGGGCCTCAGAGGGCAGCGAGGGGGCCATGAACGGCAGCGAAGGGGCCACGAAGGGGCCACGAAGGGCAACGAGGCGGCCACGAAGTGCGGCCATGGGGCCACGAAGGGCAGCGAGGGGGCCACGAGGGGCTACAACGGGGCCGCGAAGGGCAGCGAGGGGGCCACGAGGGGCTACAACGGGGCCGCGAAGGGCAGCGAGGGGGCCACGAGGGGCGGCCACGGGGCCACAAAGGGCTGCAACGGGGCCACGAAGGGCAGCGAGGGGACACGAAGGGCTGGAACGGGTCCAGGAAGGGCAGCGAGGGGGCCACGAAGGGTTGCAACGGGGCCAGGAAGGGCAGCGAGGGGGCCACGAAGGCCTGGAACGGGCCCACGATGGGCAGCGAGGGGAAGGACTGCAACGGGGCCACGAAGGGCAGCGATACCCCGTTTCCTGAGTAAGCTGTGAGGGAGTCCTGAGCGTAAGCGCGACTCCTGGGTGCCTGAGTGTCGGGAGCCAACGCAAATGCGCGATTCTAGAATAAATTGCAAGTATCCAGCGACGGCGGGTGGACTAAAACTGTCCAAACTTGTCTCGCCAAGACCTTGAATCATCAAAGTGCGCCAGACCAACATGTATACCCCCCTTCCCCAAAATTCAGAGTTGACGGGTTTAGGCGGTAGGCCAAAGGCCAGGGACAAATGTGGGCGCTTCAACTTTGGGTTTGGGAGTGAGGGTGCGAAGTAAAGGCATTTCGGTATTGTGGATGTGATCATGTTGCATCGCCTTCCCGCCATGGGTGTGGACGTTTTGTCCGGGCACCGTCTTGGTACGAATTTCGTTGTTTCGTTGATGTGGGCTTGCTTCGTTGCGGAACTGGTACAACATGATAGAACTGGTCATAGAACTTGTCATATAATGCGTCAATTAAAATCAGGGTCCAGCATAGACCTGGTCGACATTGAAAAAATAAACAATGTAGACATTCAAAAATATTAAGTGGAGACGACCAATTCTATGCCTGACCCTACTTTACACGGACCAGTTCTATGACCAGGTCGATCCAGTTGCACCAGCTTCACGCACTTCTCCACCCGAGGGAATCCGCGGGACTGCCAGCGCGCGCCGCTGTGTATTTGTTTGTTGTTTGTGCCCGCGTTTCGTCGGATATGCTTTGCCTTGCTTTGCGGTGCATGTCCGCGGTTCGCATTGCAGCGTGTTGATTGCGCATCGTCGCCACCATCACCGCCATCATCGCGCGCCGTCGTCAACTTCACGCGTGGCCATTGCGTTGCCTGGACTCCAGTTGCATGGCCAGGGGTCATATCCTTCGCGCGAGATGCGCGCGCATATCAAGCAGCTCGCATCAACAACATAACCACCTTGACAGGATTGAGTACCACGTCTTGGCAAGAAGAACTGCGTGGTTTCGTTGATGTGAGTTTGCTTCGTTGCGGAACTGGTACACACTGTCATAGAACTGGCCATAGAACTGGTCATATAATTGGTCCTTGAAAAATGATGCATCGAACTGGTCGACAGGTCGACATTCCAAACAAGTGAAAATTCAATTGTTTCAAAATGTGAGACGACCAATTCTATGCCTGACCCCATTTTGAATGGACCATGTTTCTACGGCCAGGTCGATCCAGTTGCGCCAGCTCCACGCACTTCTCCACGCAAAGGGAAGCCGCGGAGATGCCAGGGCGCGCCGCTGTGAATTTTTGTTGCTCGGGCCCCGCGCTTCGTTGGATTTGCTCTGTCTTGCGTTGCGTTGCATGTCCACGGCTCGCATTGCAGTGCGTTGAATGCTTACCATTGCCACCATCACCGCCATCATCACGCGCCGTCGTCAACTTCACGCGTGACCATTGCGTTGCCTGGGCTCGCATTGCACGGCCAGGGGCCCTATCCTTCGCTTGAGGCACACGCGCATTTAAAGCAGCTCGCATCAACAACATAACCACCTGAACAGAGCTGAATAAACGTCTGGGTAAGAAGATCTGCGTTGTTTCGTTGCTGTGGGTTTGCTTCGTTGCGGAACTGGTACAAATAGTCATAGAACTGGTCACAGAATGGGTCCATGAAAAGGGCCCGGCATAGAACTGGTCGGCATTCTATAAGAAATAATTTAGGTATTCAAGTTTCTTAAAATTGAGACGACCAGTTCTACACCTGACCCTATTGTAAACGCACCATGTCTATGACCAGGTCGATCCAGTTGTACCAGTTGCACCAACAACACGCACTCCTCCACGCCAATGGAAGCCGCGGGGTTGCCAGGGCGCGCCGTTGTTTCCTTTTGTTGTTTGGGCCTCGCTCTTCGTTGGATTTGCTCTGCCTTGCTTTGCGTTGCGTGTCCACGGTTCGCATTGCAGTGTGTTGAGCGCGCATCGTCGCCACCATCGCCGCCATCATCACGCGCCGTCGTCAACTTCACGCGCGACCATTGCGTTGCCTGGACTCGAATTTCATGGCCAGGGGTCCTATCCTTCGCGTGAGACGTGCACGTATCTGAAGCAGCTCGCATCAGTAGCATAATCACCTTGACAAGATTGAGTACCACGTCTTGGTAAGACGACTTCCGTGGATTCGTTAATGTGGTATTGCTTCGTTGCGGAACTGGTACAATTGGTGATAGAACTGGTCATATAACTGGTCAATTATAAACAAGGTCCGGCATAGAACCGGTCGCCTTTTTAATAAGAAACAACTTAGATATCACACTTTTTGATTTGAGGCGACACATTCAATGCCTGACCTTATTTTAAATTGACAATTTCTATGACCTTTTCTATCCAGTTGTACCAGCTGTACCAAGTCCACGCACTTCTCCAAAAGGGAGCCGCGGGGCTGCCAGGGCGCGCCGTTCTGTATTTTTGTTGTTTGGGCCCCGCGCTTCGTTGGGTTTGCTTTGCCTTGCGTTGCGTTGCATGTCCGCGGCTCGCATTGCAGTGTGTTGAGGGCGCATCATCGCCACCGTCGCCGCCATCATCACGCGCCGTCGTCAACTTCACGCGTGACCATTGCGTTGCCTGGACTCGAATTGCACGGCCAGGGGTCCGATCCTTCGCGTGAGACGTACGCACATTTGAAGTAGCTCGCATCAACAGCATAACCAACTTGACAGGGTTGATTACCACGATGGGTGGACTAAAAATGTCCACACGTGTCTCGCCAAGACCTTGAGTCAATAAAATACGTCGGACCAACATGTATACCCCCCTTCCCCTAAACGCGCAGTTGACGGGTTAAGGCGATAGGCCAAAAGGCCAGGGACAAAATGTGGACACTTCAACTTTGGGTTCGGGGGTGAGGGGTGCGAGGTAAGGGCATGTCGGACTTGTGGTTGTCATCGTGTTGCATCGCCTTCCCGCCATGGGCGTGGACATTTTGTCCGGGCACCGTCTTGGTAAAACGGGTTTCGTTGTTTCGTTGATGTGGGTTTGCTTCGTTGCGGGACTCGTACAACTGGTCATAGAACTGGTCATAGAACTGGTCCATTATAAACAAGGTCCAGCATAGAACCGGTCGCCTTTCTAAAAAGAAACAACTTAGATATTCAAGCTGTTCGATTTGAAACGACAAATTATACGCCTGAGCCGATTTTAAATTGACCAGTGCTATGACCAGTTCGATCCAGTTGTACCAGCTCCCTGCACTTCTCCACCCAAGGGAAGCCGCGGGGCTGCCAGGGCGCGCGTTGTTTATTTTGTTGCCACGAACGGCTGCAACGGGGCCACGAAGGGCAGCGATGGGGGCCACGAAGGGCTGCAGCGGGTCCACGAAGGGCAGCGAGGGGGCCACGAAGGGCTGCAGGCGGGCCGCGAAGGGCAGCGAGATCCCGATTCCTCAGTCAGCTGAGAGGGAGTCCTAAGCGTGAGCGCAACTCCTGGGTGCCTGAAGGTCGGGAGCGCGGCGCTTGAGCAAATTGCGGAGATCCCAGCGCAAGAGCGCGATTCTTGAGCAAATTGCAAACAAGTCTCCAGCGAAAGCGCGACTCCAGAACTCCGAGAGAGAGATTCCAGAATAAATTGTAAGAAAGCTCCAAGCGGGAGCGCGAGTCCTGAGTAGAATGCGAGGAAGTCTCAGGTGGGAGAGGGGTCCTGGCAAAACTGCGAATAAGTCTCAAGCAGGAGCCGTTGATGTTGTAATCTGGGGGCCAGGGGCGCAGTTTGAGCCTAGTGACTTTCCCTGATCAAAGAACACGGTGCAAGCCCATGCGGAAACAAAAACAATTACAAAACGCAATGGTCACCGGAGGGGGGGACTCAACAATATTTTTCAAGAGTTCAACAACAACGAACAACGATAATCCTGAAAGGACAATTAATGACCGTTCGGCCCCTCACTTTGACAAATAATGCCTACAATGCATGTGCGCTGCGTCGTGATCGACTTCCGGCAGACGCTACACCACGGCGTCGACCTGCACACGATCAGCACAGAGCGTGTGTGTGTGTGTGGTGTGTGTGTGTGCACGATCTCTCTATGCAACATGTCGACTGCGACGTAGGTGCGGAGGCAACAGGAAAGATGGGCACCCAATCGCACAATTCACCACTTACATTTTAGGTACTACCGGAAACACTCTGCTACACGAGACCTGACACACGCAACAAGCTGTAAAACACGATGCACCGCAGATGACGTGCCGCTCATGCGACAAAAGGCAACACACCACGTGCACGACACCGTGTGCGAATCATTAACTCGTGCACTCTGTACGGCACGCAGAGTACACCGCAGACCAAGCACATGTAACACAACGGCAATTAATCGCACGCATCACCATGACCAGTATGTATGCTGCGTGTTATATTCACCTCGCAGCGTGCACACCTCGCAGCGTGCCATCCGCACCACACGCGTCATGTATTTACCAGCATTGTGTGTGTTTGATGAGCTTGTATTGCACATCGCCTGATGACCCCGTCAGACAAGAACTCGACGCACCATCGTGATCAACACCAACATGCAATGCTTGATAACCTGGTACGTGTTGGGGTAATACGCGGTACACGGACGCGCCTGCAACATTGAGTAGTATTCGATCGCGCGCCGTCGTCGTCGCTGCTTCCACAAGATTGCGTCGTCGTTGCGTTTTATCTCATCCCGTATGAACGGCCAACTCGATTGGAGGAATCCCTACCCTGCCTCCCCCACGGGCTGGGGACCAGGTCGTGTTGGCAGATGGCGACGTGCGATCCACGAGTAGGGCGCCCGCGTCTGCTGGGCAAACTCACGCCGACTCGACTGTCCAAATATCATTCCATGGCACCTGCCCGCCTGCCTCCTCCCCCCCCCCCTCCTCCTCCTCCTCCTCCTCCTCCTCCTCCTCCTGAGGCCGCTGGCCCACCCCGCCTCGGGCCGTTCTGCCTGCGCGGAGTGACGAGACCAGGGGCACCCACTCACGGGCGGGAGCACGCGGGTTTAAAACTCCTCCTCCTCCTCCTCCTCCTCCTCCTCCTCCTCCTCCTCCTCCTCCTCCCCCTCCGCCTCCCCTCCTCCTCCCCTCCTCCTCCCCTCCCCCTCCCCTCCCCCGCCCGAAGTTGGGGATATGCGTTGCCTCGGCTGAAAGCCAATTCCTTTGCACTAGTCACGGCCCAATGTGTGCACCCCTACTGCAGACGGCGCAAACAGCGGAGCTATCCGCGCTCGGGCAAGCCTCGCTGTAGATCGAAGGGGGCAGTGACTTGATTAGTGATTGCCAGGCTGCATGTAATCATTTCAGTTTGCCCGCCAGCGAATGCCCCTCTTTCAAGCGGAAGCACGCTGGGCACTTCCAATCGATCAACGACTGCGCTGGAATCGAAGGTGCCGCCGAAACTGAAAGCGCATTTGGATCCCGAGGGGGGGGGGCTGGAGAAGGATGACGGTTTTCGCAGAGGGGGCAATGGGTGTGCGGACAAGGCCTCGCAGCAAGGAGCTCTGCCGCATCCTCGTGCATTCCTTCACGAACACGCTCAGCGTGCCGACCAGATCGAGGCCACACGGACCATCTGCAGACTGGCGGCGAAGATGTTGCCGCTGTGGCCTAACTTCGGCCTAGATGGATTCGAATGTGTGGCGCCTGAACGTGCAATCAAGTCAGCACCGGTCGTAGGACCAAGTCACGGCTGGCACTGGCATGACATGTATGGCGCTGTTCGGTGTGACGTGTGGGGTCCAGGGCTTCCCACCGTCCCGCGCCTGGGGTCTGCCAGGGGTCGAACCAGCCTGATCTGGACATGACATCGCCGACGCCAACGGCCACAGCGCCATAACGGGCCAGAGTTAAGACGGATCGGGTCTGTACCTGTGCAGCTTGTGCGGTGCATGTCTGCACCACGGTGCTTCCCAGAAGTGCGGCCTGCCCTGCATGTGCAATCGAAGGCTCAACAGACATGACCACACTAACGATAATAATGTGTTGACAGGGGATCGCCCTCGGCGGCAAGACTTGACAGTCGAGCCCACCCCTCCCCACTTGGCTCTGGCAATCTGTTGGTGAATGTACCCTGCCAAGGTCTGTCAAAGGAACTGGTTGCCCCTGCCCCTTCCCCGCAAGTGAACAAGGTTCCTTGTGTTGTATCTTTTGGCGCTGCATCGGGCTTCCCAAGCTTTGGATACTTTTATGCGAGGAGGATTGGCCGAGCTCGCACGCGTTCGCGAGATGATCTTTGGTGGGGGGAGGTGGTAGCACGCGAGCTCGGCATCAAGCCAGGTGACTGTGTTTCAAGTCATCTGGCCCTGTTTCCCCCCTACGAGGTCTCGCCAGGATGTTTGGTGTTCGTCGGCAGCTGTCCCGTCGATGTAAAACAACCCCCCCTCCGATTCTCTCGTTCTCTTCATCCTCATCCTCCATTCCCTTCCTTTCCTTTCCTTTGCATCCTCCCTCCCTCCGCTTCATACGACTTTCCCCCTCCGCATCAGGCTTCCTCCTCTTAGTTCTCCTTTTCTGTCCCCCTCCTTCCAGCCCCCTCACCCTATCCTAGTTCTGCTTCCTCTCCCTTCCCCCCCCCTCCCCCCTCCTACTCCATTTAGATCGGGCATGTCCTCCCACAAGCGGATTTTGGACGAAAAATTAAACATACGCACAACATGCGCAAACAGTTAGAAACATACAAAACAGCGTTCCCATAATATTCTTCCCAGTTTTGAAGATTCCTCCTGAGAGGGACACGTCCGACTTGATACTCCATCCCTTCTTTCCTCTAAACAGCGAGCGAGCGGACAGGGGCACGCCTCCAGCACACCAGACGCGAGCAGCGGCTGCTGCCCGCGCGGCCCAGCGCCCAGACTGGCGTAGGGAGGTGATAGTGTGCGGATTTCCGGGATTCGCGCTGGACTCCCCTCCCTGGCGCGCGGAGCTCGCCAGGGGCGGCGCCGGAGGCGCCGCTGGCGCGAATCCAAGAAATCCGCGCGGAGCGTCA